TCCATTTTAAAGAGTATGTGGTGATAACCTTAGCAGCAAGCACAGGAGAACATGGATGCATGGAAACGTTTGACCTGCTGAGGGAAGCTAATAATCTATTCAGTCTCAATGTCTGTAAGGAGGAGTGAGTTATTAAATGACATCTTGTGTTTCCTTTCTGTCATTTATATGATGCAGTCTCCTCTGGACCTTTCTGTTCTCCGTAGAGGTGTTTCAGAGGTGCTGCTGACAGTTAGGTTACCTTGGTTGGTTCCCAGCCCAGCGATTTGGAAACAGCGATGTGGAAACAGCAAGTCACGTGTAGAATACGTGGTGAGGTTTGCAAAAGGCTTCCTGTAATGGAAAGATAAGCCTTGATCCTCCCGCTTGATCCTCAAGCAGTTGCCCTCATTTGGCAAGCTCCTTGAGCTAACCCTGTTTCCTACTGCAATACATCTGGGTCACTGGAAAAATATGTGTTTGGGAGGAATGTGTGAGGTAGGCAAACCAGGTTACATCATCCTCGGAGCTTGTCAGGCCACGACTGCTTTCTAGCTTGTACTGAATCTTTTTCAGGGAAATCCAGGTGACTTGGATGTTATTTTCATCCAGTTCATGCTCATGCAGAAGGCTGAGGGCTCTTGGAAACCATATTCTGAGCGTTTATCAGCTTTGTGCCAGGTTACAGCAGGAGGAGGTAGGTCAGAACGCTTGAATCATCTTTAATTCGTGAAAGTAGTCATTTAGAGCACTTCGGAAGTGTCAGTTGCTTGTGGTAGGAGTGGAGTGTGCTGCTACCTGTATAGCCAACACCATAAGCCTTGCCTTTGTAGTTGCATATTAAAGTTCTGGGTATATGAAATGATACATCAGAACTTCTTGGTTGGGGTTAAAGGTGTTCCTGTGCCTTCGCAGCTTCTAGGCGATACCGTGCGATACACATTTTCTCAGGATTAATACCATGCAAAACCCATGTAGTTTATCCAAGTAAGTAGCATTAAAAACTCATAAGGATTGGTGCAAAAACTCCCACTCTACGATTCAAATGCCTTGATCTTTCTGTGCTTGTGTCATGCTGTGCCATTGGATTAGTCCCATTTCCAACAGAACATAAAGTAGCAGTAAAAATGGAGGAGAGAAAAGTAAAACAAAGGTGAACTAAAGTTTTGTTGTTCTCAAAACTCACTGTTGTGAAGTAGCGTAGACAAGGTTTCATGGTCATATGCATTAATGATTTACATGTCTCCTTTTACTTGTACAATGAGAGGATAATGAAATCACTGTAATTCCATTTCTACTCATTTCTTTTCCTATCTCTCTAATCTCTCATGTAAATCTTTTTGATACGTGGAACATGAATCTTCTGAATGAAAGTGACCAACCTCAGTAACAGAGTGCTTTGCACAGTGACTTGTTACCAGTTAAGACTTTCCCACTCTCCAAGAGGAGGCAAACATTAAACATTTTCATCAAGTTGTATATACACTGAATCAAAGCAAATTCGTATTAATGAGACTGTTTTTTCTCTTGGTGTACAGGTTGCCTTACCAGGCATAAGTTCACTTTGATTTTTCAGGACATTTATTTTCTGTATTTTATAATTAATACCTTGGAACTCTAACCTACGAAGAGGTGGTGGTCAACTTTTATTGGCTTGAAGTGAGAGTCAGGGAAGGAAGAGCTTCCCTTGTTGAAGAAGGAAAAGTACTAAAATACAAGTACATCATTTTCGTGCATACGTTTTCACATCCACGTGGTTCCAGAGCAGTCTGGTATTTCCCATGCAGTGCTGGGAGTTGTCCATTCTCATCCGTTTCAAACAGTTTTTTCTTCAGCCTGCTCTCCAAGATTCCTTCGGGCTGTTATCCAGGATGCCACTGGGACAGGCACCAGTGTAGGCACCGTTTCGGAGGTGTCTGTGTTGCAGAATTGCCATGACAGCAGATACAACTTAGTGGGCCATTGGCATTTGATTAGTGGCAGTGTTATTACCACTGCTATTTAAGCAACGGTATTTTAAAAAGAACCTCTTTTTGTAGGGAAGAGTGATGTAGGCAGAGCCATGCAAGGTGACTTGGCCTACTAGGAGGTATTAGTAGGAGTTATTAAAATAGCATTTATAGTCAAGTAATGGTGAGCAGATATCTTGAACCCTTTAACAGGACAAAAACTCAGCAGTTCTTTGCATATTGTGTATTCAGGGTGTGTATTTTTGTGTGTTACCATGTACTGTTTCTTTATGCATTGGACACTGCTGCTCTTTGCTGAGGCAAGGTAGAGACAGATAAGGAAAACAGCACTGTGAGGGTAACATGCAACGTTCCATGCTCTAAATGACATGTTAAGTCACAGGGATATTATTAAATTGCTTCAGCTAAATGAGGTTTGTTTTCAGGTATTAAGATATGCAGCCAGTTCTGTTTCCATCCACATAGTCTCTATGTATCATCTTTCTCTATAGAAAGATCTGACTGTTCATACAGCAAGTGTGGGAGAAGTTACTTCTGGTTAATTCACCTACCTTTCAAAAGTCATTTTTCAGGTTGATATAGTCAGTTATACCTTACCCCCCAGCATTAAATGTATTCACAGTCTTTGACAGGATTTGCACAGAAGACTGCATTAAAATATCAGAAATCTTTTTAAGACCTGTTTTACTGCTGAAAATTCACAGCTCCACAGCTCGCCACGATATGATTATAATACTTTGCCCTTTCTTTTTTGTTTGTTTTTTCCTTTGCTAATGTATTCTGTAACAAAGTACCTTCTTACAAAGCTATGTTTGCTGTTTCTCTGTGTTATGTTCACACAGACCTCCAACCCGATCCTAGATATTAAAAGCAGTACTTGAGTCTTTGGGTGTTTTTTCCTTGTTCTCTTTTGCCTTGAATAAGTTAATATGTTTAAGTTTGGAGGTAACTAGGGCATCAGAATGAGTATGAACAGAATGGTTACAAATTTTAATGCTGGTTTACTGTATATGAACGGTTAATATATAATATTCATCCCTTTATAGTTAAAAATCCAATAAGATCAAAGTAATATTTTTAAAAGACGCAGGGCTTTAAAACTTTTTTATGTGTAATTGTGGGATGTGAATTTGGGAATTCCAAGTTTGCACTACTTGGGTTTTGGTGGGGAAGAGACTAATAGGTTAATAATGCTTTAAATAATGGTGCAGTGTCACCTTGAAATATCTCCTAATGAAAGTATTGAATGGGCAGAACAATTATATCCTTGTCAGCATTTATAATCAGAAAATGCCCTATGTTGGAGGCCATATTAATTAACATGACCTTAAACATAAGTTTGACTTAAGTAGTAGTGCACAAGTGCAAAGCCTAGAAGAAAACGTTTGGCGGCAACTCATGCTCCAACTAAAGACATGTACTTAAAATGTCCGCATTATTCTCATCCTGTTGGCTTCTCTGAATGCTTTAAATGTACTTTGTCCTTCAAATTTATTGCTGAATTTTTTTTCTTCTCTATTCTCTTTCAGAAAGATGAGGTGTACCTCAACTTGGTGCTGGACTATGTTCCTGAAACAGTATACAGAGTTGCCAGACATTATAGTCGGGCCAAACAGACACTCCCTATGATTTATGTCAAGGTAGGTAACTGATAGATATGATTAAATGAAGAAGGATATTGCAGGAATAGACTCTGTGGATGCCTCTTTTCTGACATAACTAGTTTTCTGAAATTTTTAGGAGTGCATACATCTTGAGACAAGAAAATAAAAGAAGGAAAGATTAAAATCATTGTTTGTTATGGTGAAGGAAGAATAGAGGTTAGAGGGTTAAAGCCCTTGAGGAAAATCTTCTTTACTGTGAGGATGACAGAGCACTGGACCAGGCTGCCCAGAGAGGTTGTGGAGTCTCCTTCTCTGGAGACATTCAAAACCCACCTGGAACATGTTCCTGTGTGACCTGCTCTAGGTGTTCCTGCTCTGGCAGGGGGGTCGGACTGGATGTCTTCAGAGGTCCCTTCCAACTCCTAACATTCTGTGATTCTGTGAAAGCAAGCACTCCTGATTTCTCACTTTACAAAAGTCTTGGAATGGGTGGGGAAGACCAAGTGTAGAGGAGAGTGTTTTGGTTTTTCAGCAGCTTAGATAGAGACTGACATAGCCAGATTAGCAGCTTCAGCTTCCTGAGATGATGAAGACACAATAGTACAAAGGCCAGTAGCTGAAAGAGGATGTCAGGAAGACTCTTTTCTACATATGAGAAAGGGTTCATATGCTTCTGTTGTGGGCATTAAAGGCAAATTTTTGTCCCCTTCCCTGTACTTGGAAATCAGTGGCTCTTGTCTTAAAGAGCTACATGGGGTAAGATATTTGTGTGCACATTGTAGCCTCAAAACTTCACTTAAGTTGTCTGCATCTTTTGTCATCTTTTACGAACCCATTAAAATGAAGAATTTATTTTTTTTTCCAAACATGGGACTTGTCTGGGTCTTGTAGCTCCATTTCACATATTCTGACCGCAATCCACATGCTAGTAAATGATCGTGTTTTCACATGGCATTAACTTGTTAGCATGGCATCCAGGTAACATTGAATGGAAATTAGCAACCAATGTTCCAAATTCATACTGATTTTTTTCAGAATCCTCTTTAAAAGTGTAATGCTTTGACATGAGGGTGGGCTTAAGAAGAAAACTTTAATTTGATGGGAAGAAGATCAAAGTTTCAAAGATGAAAGTTAGAAATAGCAGTTATTCTAACAACAAAGTGTTGTGCCATAACTGTGTATGCATGAGTTATAAATGGCTTATTTCCACAAGAGCCAGCACTGGTGCCTGTTTTTAAGAAAGCACAGGCTCTTATCCACTGGCAATAAGAATTTCTACTGCAAGGCCACTCTCTTTGGTCTCTTGATGGAACAGTGTGTCTTCAGGTTATACGCTTCCCAAAACTTGTTAGCTTCGCTTTTGTTAAATTGTTTACATAGCTTTTGGCAGTACTTGTGCCCTAATTGTGGACACTTGGGAAAAACTTGTACTTACTTAGCTTTTGAGAGAAAATTCTGCTTCAACTCTTTTATCTTGCTGGATATTTGGACTTCCCATTTCAGGTAGCCTGGAAGTCTGTTCTTATCTTTTCTAGCAAGGCAAGCCTTTATCACAATCCTGTATTTATAAAGATCGTATTACCTTTATGTTATTAAAGCTTTTGCAGATATCCTACACAAAGGTCAGATCATACCTATGTGTTAATTTCTGACTGATGCCTAGGCAGGCAGAGAGCTGCTCTTCCCTGGGTAACAAAGAAAGTGTTAAAAAACTGCAAGGAAGCTTTTCTAGAAATCTTTCCTTTAACTTTTATTTGTAACTTCCAATGTGCTGTAAGAAATTCTTGGAAATATGGGGTTTGCTGTGTAGAGATGAAAGGCATACTTTCTAAATCCTGTATGTGTTGACTTGACTCCTCAAGTTAGAGCAATCTTTTGGATTGTTTTGCAGTACACTTACACAGTGCATACTTAATGTGTCTAGAGCAGGCAATTCAGAAAGCGTTTGTTTTCTTTTCTATGTGAAGAGTTGTGGTTTCTAGAAACTAATATGAAAACTAAAGACCTAGAGCCAAAATTCAAGCAATTCTCCCGTTGCTATCTTCCCACCCAAACAAACAACAAAAAAAAAATACAAGAGAGAGAAAGGGTAAAGACAAAGATAGTGGTGAAAGTGAAGCAAATACAACCCAATAGCAATATCTGGCAATTGCAGCCAGTTTTACAGACCATTGAAGGTGAACTGTGGAGAATGGGCTTAGAAAAGACACGTGTGGAGGTGTGTCTTCAGTGTCCTGCCTGTGGCTTCATTTTTAAATGGAACCTTGTAGGGGACACCACAGAGGTAACAAATAACCTGGCAGCCTGTTGTCAGCCTTGAAATGGGGCTTGCCATGCCTGGATGACCGTGTGTCCTATGCAGCCCTCATTGTTGGCTCTTTATTCTTCATAGCTAAAATGTGTGGCTGTGGCAGCTGGACATCCTCCCCTTGCCCTATAATCTTGCTCTGTGAACCTCTTGGCTTCGTAACACGTACCCTTGGTGTATTCCCCCATGTGAAGGAGTTAGCCAGCCTTGGGAAGGGGGCAGAGAAGACTCTCCCTCAGCATACTTGTTTGCTATGCCTTGCTTAAAACTGTTCTGAACAGTTGTTTTTATCTGCCTCTTCTTTTTGCCCAGAGATTTGAAATGAAAATCAGTCTGTCCCATCACCAAGAGAAACCGGGCGATTACTCAAGTGATAGGCTGAGACGCTACCATAGTCCTTGGGCAACATTTAATATGTTATTAACAGCTTCAGCAACTAAAGGGTTTTATTTGAGGATTTTGAGGGTGGCTTTTTTTAGGATTTGTTTTTAATAACCTGAAGTATTTAATTTCTATGAAAAGGCTGATTTATGAAGCAAACTGAAACACCTTTATTTTGTGTATGTTTTTTATGACTACTATTATCTATAAATGTTGGAAAGTTGGCACCTTTTTTTTTTTTACATTGTGCTCATTTTTGAAAGGACAAATGAACAAATTTGAATTGCATGTGTGGGTATATGGCAAAGGACAGGTGGGGAAAGTATGCAAATACCTTGCCCATCTTCATAGCACTAATATGCATTCAGTAGGGTCTTTTTTGAGTGACTTTGGTTTTCTTCTAATAAAAGTTTAGGCTGAATCTATTGTTTACTCTGTTTCGACTGGGAAAGCATGCTTTATGCCATGTTATGTGTTCCAGTTGTACATGTATCAGCTGTTCCGGAGTTTAGCCTATATCCATTCCTTTGGGATCTGCCACCGGGATATAAAACCACAGAACCTCTTGCTGGACCCTGATACAGCTGTTCTAAAACTCTGCGACTTCGGAAGGTAAGTGCATCCGTGCCCTGAAACCTGGCAAAAAGAGCTTTCTTCAAAGTGAACCTGGGTCAGCTTTTTCAAAGAAATCCTCTGCATTCCTCAGAAGGTCTTAATTTGTACTTTTGAAAGAGAAATTATTGATCTTCTGTTTTCCTCTTAAAATTAGTTCATAATATGGGGGAGGAAAAAAAGCTGGAAAGGGCTGTCAGAAGGGAGGGAATTAAAGTTCAAGCCTGTTATTTATGCAAGTATTGGAAAAATAAATAAATGCATTGTCACATAAGGGATATGCCTCGCCATGGAAAATTACAACCAAGTATTAGGATGAAATGTGTTTAGGGAAGAGAGGACAAGTGCAGTGGCATAGTAACCTACAAAAAAAACCCGCTAATGTTACACTTTATTAGTCTGCTTGTATGTACACCAATTCACTTAATATTTCAAATACTGTAGAGGCTCAAGTTCAGAAGCAACACTTAAAATTGAAGCTCCTAGATAGTGGACTGACATCCTGGTTTCCCATGATGCATTTATTTCCAGTATCGGTTCAGGTCAGTCACCTTCAGAGTCCAGCCCACGTCTTTAGGACGGATACAGAAAATCTGGGAATCCACACTGAGACGGGAGACAGATTTCTCTCTGGGAAAGTTCAGTCTTTAGGCTGTGCTGTAACTTTGCAGACTAAAATAGTTAGGGCATATGTGCGAGAGGTCAGGGAAGCTGCTGTTGCTAAATTCGCTTGCCTGTAGTGAGTGGGAATGTCAGATGGGGGTTATTCAAGCAGTGCATCGTCATGCCTGGTGGCTCAGGAATCTCCTCCTCAGCTCTACCTCACCAGTGTTAGAGTGAAATAGGAACCGCGCTGAAACTCAAAATTAACAGTGCATAAAGAGGTGGTACTTCTCTGTGTTAACAGTGGGAATTTGTTAATTGTAGTTTCTATATAGAAAACAGGAAACCGAGACTTTTTGAAACAGGCTAAATGGATGGTGGGAGTCCTTCCCTGAAGGCTTAGAAGAGTCTCTGGAAGGCAGACATTGGATTTGACCGGCTTGCCACTGTGCTGGATTTGGTGCTACTTAGCTGAACGTTGTCTTTCTGAAAGGGCAGTTTTGTCTTCCAGCTCCTTTCCATCTAACACTTGGTGTTAATTAAGAAAGAAGTATAATATGTTCATAGACTCATGTTCCAAAAATAATGTGCTCTTGTGTTGCTTTATTTTCTTAGATTCTTCCTAAGGTACTGGCTGGGGCAGTGCTGTAGCTTAGATCCTTCATGGTCAATCTCTTGCAGTATAAATGAAGCCTTCATATTAACCGTGGGCCATTAACATGTTACTGCAATGGCAAACATTTTTTTCTGTATCGCCTCATACCCCATTTGCCTCATTCCATACTCCCTTAAATACCAAAGAGTCAGAATATTCTGATGAAAATTAAAAAAAAAAACAACAACCAAAAAAACAAAAAAAAACCAACCCAAACCAAACAAACCCACAACCAAACAAAGCACCTCTCAGTTCTGGTGAGTATCCAGAGCTTTTGAAACTTAAAAAGTTCAACTGCGTTTGACTGAACTGTATTCTGTGCAAACAAACCTTTGTACCTAGCAAAAAACAACTGCCGGCCAAAAATCTTTACCCTGTTTATCGCCTAGATTGCAGTCAGAATTTCCTTTGCTATTTCCAGTATAAGCTTGATGGATTGGACTGTTTTTGTGGTAAATCATTGAGTCTATGGCTTACATCAGCTTAGAACAATATGGTATTTTAGCATTTAGTAACCTAAGAGTGCCAAAACTTACCATTGGTCTGCACTGCAGTATTATAAAACTATTCATTACTGAAAGATTATAATTTTGTTTCCTTTTCAGTGCAAAACAGCTGGTTCGTGGAGAACCTAATGTCTCATACATCTGCTCTCGGTACTACAGGGCACCAGAGTTGATCTTTGGAGCCACCGATTATACCTCCAGTATAGGTATGTATGGGTATTTGCTGACATCTATACAAATTGCATGAGTTTTTATTCTGTAGTGAAGCATAAAGGTTTTCTGAGATCTCGGATATAGTTCCCAGAGGCAGAATTTTATTGTAGATGGTGAGGTACTACTTAACAAAATACACAGCTTTTAGTGGGAGGAAAAATGTGGCCTAATGATTGGTTTTAAACTCTCTTGACAGATTTAATGTCTTGTACACTTTCTGATTTGACTTACTCTGTTAACTTTTGCTGTCCTTTAGTCATTAGTTTTGAACACAGAGGAGACTTCTTTCTAATATCTGGCATGTAGCTGTGTCATGGTAATGTTAGATAAGCTGGAGATTTTGGCAGAGGAGAGGGAACAGCTGCGTTTTCTTACAGTGGAACCCTAAAAATGTACAGCAAAATGAAAAAATCATAAAAATGAACAGCGGTGTTGCCTGGTTGTGAGTAACTTCTTCAGTTTTTAAGTCAAGATAATTCATGGGCTCCTTATGAGTTCAAGTGCTAAAGAGATGAGATTTGGCTCTCAGGCTCCCCAGTATTGTGCTAAGCTTTTACCTTGCTTATGGACTTGAGTCACTTAGGCAAGGTTTTAATATGTTCAAAAGTGTTTGGAGATCACAATCAAGTCTTGGCAGAATATGTTTATAGCAAGTTTAAATGTGCTTAAAGTTAGTATATTCTAACTAGTGTTAAACTCAGTGGCTGGCTGGTTTCAACTCTGCAGTTCTTTGAAAAAAAAGAAAAAGAAGTGTTCTTGAGGACTTTTACATGCTCTCACTCATTTGTTTTGTTAGTTATTCTTCAGTAGGTATTGTAGCAGCCCTTGCATATCTCCCTAGTAGAAAAAAGAGGCAGAACCATAAGAAGTCTGGAGAAAGGAATGGCACAGTAAAGATAAAAAGGCAAAACCTACTAAATGGTTGGCCGCTGCCAGAAGTGACAGCCCCAGCCCCACTCTTTCTTGCCCCTGGATACCCTTCCTCTCATGGTTTACTGTTTAATTCGCTGACTCAGCTTCAACTGACACAAGAATTTCGGGTAGGTGAACTTCCTGCTACGTTGGTGAGTTGAATCAGCGTTACTGTGTAGTCCGATAAGCAGCAGAGGCGAGGTAAAAGCAAAGTGGTGGGAGCTCGTGATGGAAGGAAGGCACCTGGTCCTGGTTGACATCTTTTTGCCAGCTGAGAGCTGATAGATTGGCTGAGCTGCATTATCAGAGTGCACTGAGACACCTTGTTTCAGAGGATAACTGCATAAAACAGATATTTGAGGTGTCACCTGAAGACAGTGCTTTGTAGATAAGTCTGTGAAATGTCTCTTGCTCCAACTGTATAATGACGTTAATCTTGCTTTTTTTTTTTTACAGACCCTTTTTAAAGTTACTCTTTCCATTTTTGTTACCTGCTGGTCTCTAGAATAGTTCTAACAAAAATACCATTCTAAAGTGAGGAGTCTGCTTTCCACTTACCAAAAAGATAATGAATTTCAGTCGTTTTGCGATTCAGACTTCCTCGTGTCCCTAAAAAGCCCATGTCCTCCCAAGCCTCTCCTGAAACAAATCAATCTAAATTAAATGTGCACAGCACGGCTGTTCAGCAAGTACTCCTTGCTTCTTACCCTTTCCTCCCTGCACTTCATTCTTAATGAAGTCTTTGCATTTGGGAGCTGGAAAGTAATAAAAGGCCTTTCCAAACGGAATTTGTGGTTTCCCAGTGTTCTGCAAGATGTTAGGCATTTTAGGGTTTTAGTCTTGTGACGCTGCTGTTGCCAGTGGTGGTGAGTACCAGGCTGTTCCTCTGTTCTTGCTGGATAGGCAGCAGCAGCACTTAGTGAGAACTTTTCCCTGTTCCTCCTAGGATTCCTCATCCAAACTCAACCAGCATCATTTGTACACCAGCCAACAAGCACAGATAGGTTGCTTAAAAGAGAGGGAGAGGAAGAAACATTTAATTATCAGTACTTTATCCATAGCTCAAAGTACAGGGAACTGAAATGCTTTGGTATTGTAATATTGCAGTTTAAACCTTCTGTTCTTAATGTGAACACCCTTGCGGTTTTTTCAGCTCTTGTTTTCTTCTGAATTGTTAGCACACAAGCCTTTTCCTGCTATTCTACATAAGAATCCACTTGAGTGTGTGGTAAAAAAACCTGAGCTTGAATGTAGGGCAGGAATCTCCACTCTTCTGCTTTAAATACGCTATCTTAAAACTGCATGAAAAAATAAAATCAGTGTAGAATATGAAGCCAAAAAGTGTTCTAAGTAGAACTTTTTGGTACAATATCTGCAAGGCATCCAGCTAAGGTTTTTGTTGTTTGCTAATGTTACTGCAGGGCTTATGATTCTAACATGCTGCTAAATAGTAATTATTGGAAGTATTTCTGAGCAAGAGGTGCTTTTTAAACCTAGGCAGCGGCAGTGTGCTGGCTCAAGACTGCCAGTGCAGCCAGCCTGCATCATGACCACTTCAGTAGTCATCCTGCTTAGCACTGTAACCAGGGGTTGCATTAGGCTGTCTGGCTTTGTCTAGGTTGTCTTTTAACACCTGAATTTGTCCTTGCAAGTAGCAGGTAATGACTTGTTCTTCAGTGTAGCAGAACGTCAAGTTGGTTCCAGGATGTGTCTTTTCATCCTGGATGTCACAACAGTTGGCTTTTAACTTCTAGGATTTTGATTACTTTGATCAAAGTGCATGGCTTAAATTCTAACTCGGAAGGTTTCCTTAAAAATAACTCACAGCAAGGGGCGCTGTTTGTTGCACTTTTGTAAAATACTGCATTAGCGCTATATACAAATATATATGATAGTAAGAGCAGCATCAAAACACATTTACTGCAGTTAAGGCCTGTGCGTGTCATCCAGCAGACCTGGGACTGTTATTACAATAATGACCTGGGAAATGACCTGTCCAAGTTTTAAGATAATCTGTGTTGCCAAATAGCTACAAATCAGGCCCGTAATAGCTCTGTCATCTGCCCACGTTACAACCTTAAGGGATTTTTCAGTGGTCAGGCGCAAGCTATCATGTCACTTGGATGCCTTTACAGCTTGTGAGTTTGAACCTTTTTTGCGCCTCTGACTCTGAATTCTGCAAGTGTGTGCAAGCCCCAAAGGCTTGCTGGGGACAGCAGGTAGTTTTGTTCCTGCACCTGACTTGTGGGAGGCTTGATGTTTTGCAAACCAACCCTTCAGCAATCCCTTAACAGCATTTTGGCTGAAGCTTCTTCCTTGCAGGTCTGTGTGTGTTAGGCCATCCTGGAGTACGCTGCCAGTGTGCTGCTGGCTGTGCTGGTCATACAGGGGCTGCTGCCTGATGAAAAAATGCAGGATGGCAGAATGTGGCTGCCCACGCTCCCCTGCAATGTCTTGGGACAAATGTAGGTGTTGTATAGGAAGCAGCTGTGCAATTAAGTTTCACCCCCAGAACGCTGGGCTTTTTTACTAGGTTAGGTGATGGGGCAGTGGAGGGCTCACCACAGCGTGGCAGTGCTTCTGGATGACAAGGGTCTGCTGGGCTCAGGTGCGTTTTCTCCATCAATGCGCTGGCAGGAATTGAGAGCGTTCCAGAGGGAACATTTATAGCCATTGGCAGGGAAAGATTGATCTGCATGGCTGTATTGCTGGGTTCTCTTGGGATGTCCAAAAATAAGTATCGTGAAGTTATTCATTCACTTTCCTAGCAAGTGTTAAGACAGAGACAGAGTATTTCACCTCAACAGCCTGGAGCAGAAGCTCCTCTGGAGGGGTGTGTAGTCAGACTGTCTCAGGGTTTCCTGGGGAAGAACCATCACAAGGTGTGTCCCAAACAGTGAAAAGTATTTGGCCCTGTATCTCAGGTGGCAACTTCCAACGCTGGAAATAAGTACAGGCATTAATTTATTAAACTATGCTGTGACCTGTCATTGTGGTTTCATCTCTTCATTGCAGGAAAAGAGAGATATCTGTGTTTAGCTTTTGTTCCAAGTACTGGAACAAGCATGACTTTCCAAGTATTTTATTCTGTCTCCGTAATTTGGGTATCTGTGGTGGCTTGACGTGCAAAACTTGCATGCATGCTCATAATGCAAAATTTTGCTCTTTTTCTGACATCCCGAAAAGTGTTCCAAACAACCAGCAATGAAAAGTGCTTTGTGCTCTGGTATTTGGCAACTGGAAGCTGCTGATTTTACGACTTCCTAGGGCTAATTTTCTGACTCCTGGTTTCTTCCCTGCTAGTTTGTTACCAGAGCAGCAACTTTGAGTCACTTCCAAGATGAATGAAGTCCATCAAGATCAAGGGATAGTGGGGCAGAGATTAATAGATGCAGGGGGGAGAATGGGGCAGGACACACCATGGAAAGGTAAACGTGCCCTATGTAAAATACAGGATTAGTTCTTGATTTGTACTAAAGGGACACAGACAACTGGAAATGGCCATTGCCCACTTGTAGAATTAAAGCTAAAGAGTGTCTTTTGCAGGTCATCCTGCCAGATGCTCTTCCTGAACTAAAGATACATTTCCTTTTCTTACCTTCTCTAATGCTGGAATGGCACTCAAAAGCAAGGGAACTGTGCAGATGATGATATTAGACAAGTTAGTGTTCATCTAACAACTGTGAACATCAATAAAGTAATAGAAACTTAATTTAAGAAAAGTTTAGTAATATAAGAGGCTGTATGAGGTTTTGTGTGCTTAAATTAGTGCAGCTAGTTCATGTGATAATGGTATTTGTCTAAGCATTCTTCAGTCTACAGAAGTTACGGCATTAGCTACTATTATAATGTGTGAAAGCTATCTGAAATAAGCTTATTTGAAGGTTGCTTTTGGCTGGCAGTTGCGTTTACTGTCTGTATTGTTTAGACTACAATTCACTGAAGGTATGAAGAAAGCAGCCTTGCTTGCTTTTTTTCTGCATAAAATTAATAGCTTTCAGTGTATTCTAAAATTTCACATTGTCCCAACTAGTTTGGCATAAGGATGATTTGTGGACCTGATTCTTGTTTTCTGTTAAGATTCTCTCTTATCTTTTTTATTTACTAGTTTAAAGAAGATGAATGATAGTCATGTTTCACCTTAATTAAATTGCACGTACTAAAAGAAATAGTTCAGAAAATGCTGCTCCTCTCATGGGAGTGGGTAGTTACACTGTAAACTTGCTCTGAAAGATTATTAACCCGTAATAGTTAGCTGTGACTGTGACCTTATCACCTCTCTTAAGTAACATGTCTTCAAATACAGAATTTAGTACAACATTTACCTGAGGCTTGAGAAAAATGTTACCAGTCAAATTTGGAAGGTAAATTTTAAAATGCCAGATTCAAAGAAGAAAAAATGCAAACCATCCTGGAGCCAAATTTTAGTCCTATTAAAGTCAATGGCATGAATTCCATTGAGTTTCAGCAGAGCTGAAATTTCCCAGTTTCTTCCTTCTTGCACATAGCTCACCAGAGCTGCATAAACACCTCTGTAAACTGTGCTTTGTTGCCGTCCCTGCTTGAGGCTGCTGAAGTCATTGGCCTCTGCTCTCTGGCTTTCTTCGAGGATGCTTCAAGGGTTTGTTCACTTCCTTGCCCAGGGAGCGTTGCCCAAGTCCTAACTTGGAAGTTGGTGAAATTAGACTCCTGAAAAAATTTGGGGATTTTGGAATGCCTGTAGCTTATTTTGATGTGTGTTTAGTGTTAGCAAGTAAAATCAAGGAAAATCAAATAGACTTTTAACAAGGCATTAAATCACCTGATTTGGAAGACTTCACTGCATGAGGAACAACTACATAGGTTTCCAATGGATTTGTTGTGTGTTTGATGGTTTAAACACATCGCGAATACAGCAAGTATTCCTCAGTCTTCCCCAGCTATTTCCTCATGACTTGCATCCTTTATTTTTCTCCTCTCTCCCCCTGCGATGCCCTCAGCTTTCTCACGTACCCTCTGCTGTTTCTGTTTGGCCTTCTTCCTTTCAGCAAGGACCCTGAGACCTTGCACATCCTTACATGTGTTTGAGTCTGCAGTTTGGGCTGGGAGCAAGCCTGGTGCATCCCACAGGGACTGAGCCCTACTCTGCTCAGCAGCAACACCAGTGCGTGCTCTCCCCAAACCTCTGCCATGTATTGGAGACTTCTGCCTTGCAGACCTGTCTGAAATTGGCTGATGGAGTGCCAAGGCATTTAGGGAGACTGGGAAAGGATAAAACAACACAAAGCCAACTTCACGGAGCAGCCAGACCAGGAGGTTATTTAAAACAGTTTTTAAAAGCCACAGTCTAATATAAAAAAAAAAAACAACCCATGCTGATATAGTTTCAGAATTTTAAAAGGAAATGTTGCAAATGCTTCCTTGTTCTCGTGTTGGCTTTGGGGTTGTATGTGTTCTGTCAAATACTTTTACTCCCCATATATTTTTTCATTCTCACTGCAAAACAAGGATTGAAGTTGTAAATAATGATTATAGCTTTGGGGTACCACTTGTTTTGTATACTCAGTGTAAAGGACTCGGCTTTTTCAAAACACTTTAAGATGCCTTTAAATAGACTTTTAAGTTTACAGTACTCAATCCTGCTCAGTACATTTAACCTTTCTTCAAAACATCTGAAGAAATCTGTGCAATCTGTTGAACTACTGTGTAATTTCCTATAAACCCAGTATGCATGAGATGATACAAAAAGTGATTCTTTGCATCATCTCTTTGTTGTACGTCTTGGTCCAGCAGCAGGAGCTATCAGAAGGAACATTATTTAGCAGTCGGATGCAATTAAATGTCCTTTATGTGATGCCTTCCTCATTTGTTGCTCAGAAGAGATCTTAGCACCTTGGTGGCTATATCAGCTTTTATTAAATGTGACTAAAAGATCAGAAAGTGTAATTGGATTTGTTTGCTCATTGAAATTGAAGACTCAAACTTCAGGTTATTTCTGGTTGCTGTTTGTATTGTAAGTAGTCGCTTTTTAGGATAAACCCTGATGTGATGCTTGTACTGAGTCAAATGCATCCATTTGACTCAGAGGTGAATGATTTTGAAAGCTGCAGTAACAAGCAGTGCTTTTTGTCTACCGTCTGGTACGACTGAACCATATCTCTTTTGAGAAAAGAGGGTAGTATTTTTTCATAGCCCATCTCTCATTTTGAAATGGGGGGAAGGAAAAGTCTGTTCTGAATTGCAGATTATTTAGTTAGCAGTCTTGAATTCCTGAAAGGGCTTTTTAATTATTTTTTGCATCAGGTTCTAGTGGCTGTGACAAAGTGATGATAGACCGTAGAGAACTGTCAGACTTCTTCCTCGCACAGACCTTTAGCCAGAACTGACAGTGTTGTGCTATCCTGCTTCCAATGGCACGGTTTAAATCCCCGAGGGGAATAAGGATCTCTGTTGTAGCGTGGGTTATCTCAGGTTGGAACAGGCCTCCAGAGGTAAATTCTCTGGGTTTGAGTTGTGGTGTGCTACTAATGTTTTGTGAGGGAAGGTTTGGTCATAAAAGTAGGCGAGAGTTCAAAGATTGATGGATGGGGACTGGTTTTGTTCTTGACCCTTTTGGGGCATTACAGTATTGAAGACTTTACAAATATTCCGCTACTGATTGCTCATTTGAGGTTAGGTTTTAGTGTTAGGTTTCAGCTATACATTGAACAAACAATGACTTTCTAAAAAACCGTACAGTTTATTTTTTTTTTTTTTTGAGAAAGTTATCTCTGCATCTAGGTGCCATACTTTTAGTGTGTTGAGCAGCTTAAACTTCAGTATTAGGTGTGTAGTTACAGCAGATTCTCACGAACGTCTGCTATGCAGTGTTTACTGCATTTGCTTCATTAGATTTTTTTTCCTTCAAATTAACTGTTTCAGAAATAGAGTGCTGTATTCTGTAGTACACAGATACATTCTGGAGTTGCTGTTGTAGTATTGAATTGTCTTCTTTATATGTAAGTAGATAGACCGGTAGCAGATTATGAACATTTTCTTCATGTAGAGGAGTAGCTGCTAATGGCAACTCACAGCTTTTGGTGTATGAACGAAAATTAGTTGATGGCTTCTTCTGTGGACGTTATTGACCTGATCTGTGACTTGCAGTTGTGTTGTCCAGCCAAGTTTGCAAATGGAATTGGGATAAAGATGAGATCTTCGTGTAATTGAGTTAGAGAAGCTGCCTCCCAGATCCCTTAATCATCCTGTACTGCAGGATACGAGTAACACTTGCAGTACTGGTTCATCTGCTGGTGTATGTATGTGTGTATGTATGTGTGTATATATGGATGAAAAATGGAATCCATTCAACATTCAGAAACACTAAAAACATCAGCTATTGTGGCAGATGATACCTATGCATAGTTTGTGATCAGCATGATTTAAAAACAACATAGGGTTTGGGGAAATTCTTAATTTTCAGATGGCAAATGTTCTAAGGTCTTTTCACTACATGTATAAGTCTTAATGCCAATATATTAGAGCATTTAACATCATCTTCCAGGTTTTGTTGTCTCATGGTTCTAAGACCATTGCCCACCATTGCTGTATGCCAGGTGTATGTGTTTTCTACATTAACACTTAGAACAGGAATGGTTTTTATGTGTAGCTGTGTTACATACAGTATTTTGCATTCAAAGAATAAAGTAAGTGGCTTAAAACTGCTGGGTTTTTTATCAATGACCTAATATGTACCTTTTACTGATAACTCTCCCTGTCCTCTGCTTCTTTCTCCTTTACAGATGTGTGGTCAGCAGGCTGTGTATTGGCTGAACTGTTACTAGGACAACCAATCTTTCCAGGTGACAGTGGTGTGGATCAGTTGGTGGAAATAATCAAGGTATGGAATTTTAGGTGTTTTTTTAACTGCATTATTCCTTGCGAATCAGCGTGGAAACATGCATTGTTATAACCTTGTCAACATACGTATTCTGTCACCATCGTACAGGGTGTTACATTTAAACCGCGTTTGAAAACCACTTCTCATGCTTTTTTGAGAACTTGATGATCTTTTTTTGCCCCTCTTGCAGTCATGCATAATGATATATCTTTTAATTATATAGTCCTTTTCCCTCTTAAAGGACTGCACTTCAGTGTGCTTGGAAATAGTGCTTACATACTGAGCCAATATTTATTAATATGTGATTTTCATCCTTTAAGAATCTGGCTCTTTTTCTTTTATTGCATGCAATTAGTACTTGGCTTTGAAAACAGTGTAGTTCTATTTCTTGTGCCAGATTCTTCACATGTAGCCTTCTTCTCTTCCTTCCTTCCTTCCAACTCTTTGAGGTGAAAGGTGAAAAGGATCACTCCTGTTGACAGATGGAGGATCAGGAAACGTAGGGCAAAGACACCTTCCACCTGAAGAGTCTTGTTTTCCAAGCGAAAAAGACCTAATGTTTCAGAAAACATAACATTTATATATCACTTATGTTCAAACACAGCTTGATTGATTTCATTTGGGAAGCTGTGAATATTCTGTGATTCTCAAATTAGAGGCATGGAAGAATAATTCATAGCTTAAAAGATTAGTGTCTGACTTCCCAGCGCCCCAGTCTCCTCCGCCTCCTTCAGCTTCTGCAATGAAGGAAGCAAGATTTCGAGAGAGAGCAGTATATTTCTCCTTGGAATCTATACTGTGCACTTAAGCAGGAGTACTACAGAGGATAAGATGTGTGCACACACTATTCGGCTTTGTTGATTTCATCCTCACAAAGGGGACTGTATGAAGAGAATTTCCTACTTGGTTTAGCCACTTTACTGCTACCTTGGTACACGTACGTTTGTGTGGTGTGCATGTGAAAACCCTCTCAAAACCAAAATGTGTGAGTGAAAGAGCTTCTGTTACAGTGAGCTTTTGTCTGTCCTGATGGAAACCCTCCAGTCAGCAACTGTCCTCTGGAGGCTTTGTGTCTTTCACCTACTTCTCCTGTGACTCTTGGTTTCTTATTAATGCCTTTCTGCCCAGTGTATTTCAAGCTCAAGATATCCAAGTTGAGTCAGTTTACATAGGAAACTCTAGTTAAAAAACACAGTTGCTGTCAGAATTAGGGCTGCTAGGGCTGTTGATGGCACAAGTAGCAATTTTTTTCCTTTTGGGAAGTGTTTTGGAGTGGGAACCGCTTTCTGCTGCGCTGTTTGTGTGAGATGTGAAGTGGTCCCTGTGAGCACTTCAGATGGCCACAGTTTTTCAGGAGTTTGTGCAGTAACCTGTGACGTTTGCCTTTGGATGTTTTCAAAAAGTCCAGTTTTGTTTCTTGATTAATGTCTGCAATCCTGAGAAACCAGATGTAATGGTTGGTCTTTTTGTGTTTGTGTAATGGTGACAGTCCTGTAAGTCCTTCTGTGGCTCAGTCAGAAATGTGAGAGTAGAGAGGCCTTATCAGCAAAACCATAGTGCTCTGCCTTACTGCTGCTTTGATTTTCACAATGTGGAAGTAAAATAATCAGGAAATAGATGTCCTCTCATTGACCTGCTTACCAAGGTGAGATTGTGGTTTGATTCAGAGTTTGCTAGAAGCTGTTGTCAGTTGGATGTTTTCAGTTCTGCATCACTGGAAATAATCGTCTGTGAACTAATAATTTTCTAGCACATATGTGCTCTGATTGTGATGATTTTGCTTTGTTTACACTTGAGTTGTATTGAAGCAGAGGAGTACTTTAATAAAATTGCTGATAGCCTATGTACCATCTGTGATTTCTTTAAATGACACTACCGTAATTGGTGTGATAACTTTTACTGACCAATTCATAGCTGAATACGTAGTGCTGGCAAACTAACGTTATTTCTCATGACAGCACAAGGAGTGTCCGGTGTAACGTCTGGTGCTTCAGTAGATTATGATTGTTTGAGATTACGATTTCTACCTCCACAGAAACAAACTTCTGAATAATTTCTTTAAATGTAGAAAGGAGGATACTGAATGGATGAACATCCACACTTGTTGTGTTGGGGTTTCCTCATCTTCTGTTAGATATATAGCCCCCTACGTGTAGAAAATAAGCGGAAAAAAAAATATAGGCATAACTCCATTTTATAGTAAGCCTGGTCTCTTCAATTAAAAATTTACAGTACTGAGACTATGCTTTAGGAAAGTCTGAGAGAACAAATGTTATAAATCTTACAGCAGTAATCACAGAAAAGCGTGTTCAATGAACCGTTAAGGAAGCGTGTTGGAAAATGTGAGCCCGAATGGGTGGGTTCCATGAATATTTTTCTGCCTATATATTAGTTGCTAAGACAGCATAGATTCTCAAGGCAGCACTGGAAGAAAAAGAGTACAGACTGCAGAAGTGTTTCAATACCCTTGTCTACCAAATCTTGTTGTGAAGTTTTGTATCCGCTATTCAGAAAAGCCCTGGCAGAAGGCTGAGGTGAGAATACAGAGTTATAATTGAGAAGATCTCATTCAAATTCAACAGCCATAAGAAATTGTCTAGGAAAGTGCATGAACAAGGAGATGCTCCCCTTGTAATGCCATACCCACTGACAAGAATTTTTCACAGTGGGAGTAGAGGGAGAACAGCATGTTCACCTCAAATTTCAAGTATTTTTCCTCACCTTTTAAGAAAGAGGAAAAAGTAGAAAGTGAGGTCCTCAATTTTCCTTTCTGCCAACTGTGGCAACGATCTGTCCCGTCATGTATCATGTATCCCTTCAAAGTGACCAGTAATCAAATTGAGCAGATTTGTGTTTCAAGCCTGCAAAGAAGTTGCAAAGCATACTTCTCTTCTCCACTCCATGCTTTTAAGCATGATGCTTAAATTTGACTTAGATTTGAAAGGTTAGCATTCAAAACTGCAACCTGTGTTTATTCAGCAAGCTTGGGTTTTACAGCCTCAGTACAGTTGAAGACATACGCAATTCAGCAGTCTTGGGCACAACATGTAAACCACTAGGTTGTATAAGATAACATTTAGAATAGGATTAATTTTTAAAAAATACTGTTACAGATTGTGTCCACTTTTGCCATTTGCTGCCATATAATACTACTATTTAAAGCTTTCTTTGTAGCATAGACTTATTATAAGGCTAGCTGGCTGTAGGAGAAGCAAAGCTGTGGGTTCTACCAGTTGTAGAACAGCCAGAAACTTTGGAGAAGGTGGCAGGTTGGGACCAATGAGCTGCTGTTGAACTATTTTGGAGTAAAGCTTTTCAGACAGCTTCCTTGGAATTGTTTGTCTGAAACTTGGGACAGAAAAAATTGAGTATTTTAAACTCCCACAAAGGGTTACAACAAAAAAATATATCCACACATTTGGAAATGCATCTGACTTTCATCCCTTTAACCTACTTGATTCCACTGCAGGAGAGGTCAGCTTAGAAACTTCTGCTTCCTATCGATTCAGGATGACTAAGAATGACAGTCACTCTTGTAGCATTTTTCAAGCCAAGATAAATTTTTCAGTTGCCTTTTCATTTGCTTACTCAGCTTTGGTTATTCAGAGTTCATTCCACAACACTGCAGTTGGATGCTACACCTGGGTATGAAGTTTTTGCATTAGACTGGAGGATGACTCGAAAATGCCACCACGTTAAACTAATCCTCCGTTCTCATGCAGTGCGTGATGACAACTCCTTGGTAGCTGCGTTCGTGAAGATAGAATTACTGGGACATGTCAGCCCAGCACAGCTTGTCCTTCCTGCAGCCTGTGTGCCCAATGTCCTCAGTCCCTTGCTGCATCAGAAGCATTTTTGACTCTTGACAGATTTTGATTCACTCTCAGTAGTGTTCCCACTCTTTCATTTCATGCAGTCCTGCAAGATCTTCTCCAGCTATTTGTACTTGGAGTTTCTCAAGGCCTGTTGTGTATTTGCCAACTGCTCTGAAAAACTGTGCCTCTCTAGAGCCACAGCACCACGTTCGTGTGAATCAGAAGACAGTCACCTTCTTTTTCTCTTTGTGTTTCTTTAAAGATGGTCTTTCCAGATGTTCTCAATCTGGCTGGGAGAAAGAGATCTTCGACCACTTACCCCTGGAAATATGCTGTTCGATATGGGGAAGTGCTGTCTTAGACCTCTGTCTGAAGTAATAGCTTAACCCAAGTGCATTCTTCTTGAACACTTAGACTATTACAGGAGAGAAATTGTGCTGTGCTTTTTCCAAGGTTTGATCTTGAATGGTGACTCTTCCTCCTTATTTTTAGCTCTTGCTAGCTATTCCAAATGTTGGGTTATCCCATCACTGGGAGTATCTCAAGTGGGTAACCTGACACATGCATTAAAATTCATGCCCCTTCTGGCTTTTGAGTGACATCGCCTTCAGAAATGTGCTCCATTTCTGAAGAAGGCACAGTGTCAGCGCAGGTTTCATCAGTGGTCGCATAAAGGAATCATATATGAGCAAGTGGTACACTTCAGAGAGCAGTCATACAGTTCTGTCCCCAAAGGAAGGGTGAAACCCTCCTCCTCCCTGCAGCCCAGTTGCCTCTTCCCTGTTTAAAACCCACTGAGCAAGTGGGATAATGCTGGATACAGCTCAAAAGGAGCTTTCAGACCACAAGAGGGATCTTTTCAAGAAACAATCAGGGCAGGCTCCTCCATAAATCCTTGCGTGCATGGCTTGCAGGGCAGCAGCGCTGTCTGTGGGACTGCTGTGCCCCCTGTGAAAGCTTGGGAGGTGGGGGGATCCCTGCCTATCCCCCAGTTCTGCAGCACCCCGAAAGTATCAAGGGAAAACTGTGATATCACCTCCAAACTAAAACATCTTTAACCCCAGTTCCCACAGACAGTGATTACTCCTTATTCCCTGTACTAAAAGGGAATCTTAGTTTCTAAGATAATAATTATCTTCTGAATGGTTCTGTTTAGTACCTTCCCCCTGCTCCTCTCAAAAATGG